TTCTTTCTTTCTTTCTTTCTTTCTTTCTTTCTTTCTTTCTTTCTTTCTTTCTTTCTTTCTTTCTTTCTTTCTTTCTTTCTCCTAAACGCTTAGAGTCGATAACTAATACAGTTTATATGTATATATACTAACACATAATAAAAGAACATCATAAAATAACAATGACACTATAACTGGGAGTTTAGATAATGTCAGCAGTACTATAGCGATATAAACAAAACAAAAACAAAAAACAACTAAATGAAAGTACAGGGGTGTCAGGAAAATTCAGGAGAGTATACCGTTAATGTTTATTTAGAGTAATTGAATGAGCATTTGTTTTATCTTTAGTGGCTCTTTGAGCATCAGCTCTAGGAAAACGTCAGATGAACAGCAAACCTGCGCTCCCATCTAATCACGCTCTCTGATTGGTTCATATTACTAATTCTCTGAGCCAATCAGGGGGGACCAAGAGCTCTCTCCGGTGAGAGTGCTAACAGCGCCTGCAGAGCTCAGCAGTGACTGCTTAGTGGCTGCTGCTATGCTGCGAGGACCGTCCCACCGCCAGCGGAGAGAATAACGTCCCGAACCAGAGTGTAGAGAGACAGTCTGAGGTGGAGGGTGAATTAAAGTTTCACAAAGGAGAATATGAACAAAGCAGAAGGACCATGTCGACCCACCGCTCCTCTAAAGTTCACTATTGACAACATCCTAAACCTGAAGACGAACTGTGGCAGCTGTCAGGATGAACCAGTCCCAGAGCAAAGGCCGGATCCGGGAAGCAGGCTGAGGCAAAGTGGTAAGAGATTTTACACAATATATCATGATTTTACAATCTGAGTGACAGGGAAACTAGAAGGGCTTGTTTAAGTGAGTTTTACTGAATTTCTAGAACTGGTGAGTAGCTGCAGTGGAGCAGCAGACTGCGGGAACCAGGGAAAGACGCGCTTTGACAGCGGAGACAGCAGCTGCGAGGACAGCGGCTCCATCACCACCACCGCCACGGTACCGGAGGCTTCTCTGGAGCTCCATAGAGGAGGGAGCCCCAATAAAAAGAGCAAAATAGTAACGAAAAAGAAGACGCGTACGATTTTTTCAAAGAGACAGATTTTCCAGTTGGAGTCTACCTTCGACATGAAGCGCTACCTGAGCAGCGCAGAGCGCGCATGCCTGGCCAGCTCCCTACAGCTGACAGAGACCCAGGTGAAAATCTGGTTCCAGAACCGCAGGAATAAACTGAAGCGCCAGATCTCTACCGAGATCGACGGACCGGTCAGAGATTTCCCCGAGGCAGGGAAACCCGCAGCGGGGGGGACTCTACCCGCCTTGTATAAAGAGAACAACCTGCTGGGAAGATGTCTGCTGCCAATGCCTCTGCCGCTGGTTTACCCAGGGAGCAGCGCACCTTACCTCTGCTTCTCTAGCGCCAGCAAGTACCTGAGTCTGTACGATGGGGATGTATGACAGCTTTTTCGCTGCTCCCTGACTAAACGAGACAATCTTCTTGGTGACTTTCTCGCCAAGTCTTTTGAGCGTCTGAGACATTTTGTGGCCAAAACATTTTTTAATGCAATTGTCGTTATTTTTTATGAAGACTGCAAGTCTAAAGACAGCAAATTAGTTTCTTATCATGTACTTAAAGCATGTTCAGCATTATTTATGTCCAGTTGAAGAAAGTACCTCTGGTACAAAACAAGTTACATAGCTCAGAAGACCTAAAACACATTATTGTTTACCGCATACTAGTATTATTTTATGTAATTATTTTATCATCAACTGCAGCCTAAGCCACCAAAGAAATTATTACTATAGCCTATCTGCATGCGTTTTCTGTCATGATTTTTAATGCTACAGCTATGTATTTAAATGAATGTAATTAACATTTTATTTAGTTTTACGCACGTGTTTTGTTTTCCTTCTTAAAATATATTCTTTCTTTATTCCACTTTGCCAAGAGGATCATTACACGTTTTACTGAAAACTTTTATTAAAACAACTTAAATATAAGCTTTGCAGGGTTAATTCTGTTTTTTTTTCTTTTACTTAAAATTAAACGGTTCGAGAAACAATGGAAATGAGTAATGTGAACAAAGTTGTATTTTAACACACATATATATATATATTATGGCTGTGAAGAAAATGCAACTAAGCGAACCTAAGTCTCAAAAGTAAAAAAGATTAAAAAAAATAATAATTATAAAATCATTCAGTTTATTTAAAAAAATAAAAAAATTGACAGTGTCAATAGTAGTAATCAAAAAACTCAAACTTGTTCAGAAATATCATTTTCAAATCAGAATATATTAGTCTAAATAATACTTTATTTGCTAATATTTAAAAGTATCATAAAGCAGTTATAAATATGAGGAGATACTTGGATATGAGTAAGAATAAAAATGTAAAAGTAGCACACAACGATTAGATAGTCTTATTTAATTAAACACAGATGTATTCCTGTTAAATCCAAAGTCACCAGTACAACTTCAGATGGTGATCACATGGAGACAAGAGGTCTGGAACGCACGCCTGCCTACATTTGTATGTGAATGCACTGCATCTGTATTAATTATGCAATGTGCAATATGTTAGATGAGTAGTTTGATGATGACTCTTTGCCTTACTTAGACAGTAAATACGGGAAGTTGCTGATCTAGGGAATGGTTGATGCAGAAAAAAAGGCTGAGGTTTATGTTGTTACTTGGAAGTACATCTAATCCATGTCTCACCAGCAGGTCAGCCTGTGAAAAACATAATTAAAGCAATTTCTCCACATAGTCACTATAGGTTTATATTTTAACAAAAGATAACTGTACTTTCTATAATTACTACACTTTATAAGGCATAAAACAAACTCTATCCATAAAAATAAAATCTTAATCAAGATATTAAACACAGAGAGTAAAAAGGAGAGAAAATTTAATTAATCAGGATAAAAGTTTAATAAACCGCTTAAAATAAAAAGATCAATGTGCAAAAATGAGAAACATATTTTATTTAACATTAAGAACTGAAAATGACACAGATGTATTACGAACATAAAGAAAAAAAGGGGATTTTTAAGTATTACTATTGTTATTATTGTTGGGTATTTGAATGTTTACAACAAGATATTATAAATATACAATATTATTATAGTAATAATAATAAGAAGAAAAATAACAACAGGAAGAACACAAGATCAGCATAATAAGTTTAGACAAATGTGAGAAATAGTTATTATATATAAATGAATACCTCTGAATCTGAAAGAACATTTTCTTAGAAACAAATGTTTGTTTTTCCTTTAAAATGCAAAAAGTTTTAAGCATTTTAGATAAATTCTTGCATCTTATATTTAGTTTTAGAATTTCACTTGTTTCTTTATTTGTTATCTTTTGCTGTTTTTTGTGTTAAATTCTGTAGCATATCTTCTGACTTAAGATATTTATTTGAACCTCATGCACTCATACAATCAGAAAATAAATGCAATCTTTATATGCATAACAAACAAAAAGAAAATAAGCTTAGCAAGCAGTTTTTCATTAATAATTTATAAATATTTTTACATTTTGTATTAAAATGTTTAAACTGATTGGCTTAATCAGAATTAACCTTCCAACCTAACCTTGTTTTTCACACCTCACTTAATCCTTACATGTAAGATCTTAGGGCATAAAAATGTAACAAACAAAACAGAAAAAAGGACTTTAATCTTTCCTGCTTTATTTCTATTTGAATGAATAGAGTGTAGCCAAATGTTTTTTAGAGATAAGAGGCAAATTACAAATATGTGGCTGTCTTGTGTTCTCAATCCTCAGTTCTCTTTTCTACCCACAATCCTCTGCATCTACTCACATGTACAAGATGTGGCACACTCCTGTATTAACAACCATTACCTTTTACTTGTTGGAGAAGATAACACCATCTTTAAAGCATCGATTTTCAATGCTTAATATGCTTAAAAGTGCGAAAAGTCATTTAAAACATTTGATTTATTTAATTTTGCACATTAACTCAATGCTCTATAACTTGTAAGTAGAGCTAATTGCTTCAGCCATTCAGATCTTGTCGTTTTATCACCCCACTATCCCTCTCCTACTCTCACTGTGCTTCCCTCTCGCCTCCTGCCTTGCCATAGCTCATTATTGTAATCTGTGCACTCAAGCCCGACTGTGTTGATTATGTCTGAATGAAAAAGGGGCCGAGGAGGGAAATTGTGCTACAAGGGAGGGAGTGGGAAGAAAGGAAGAAAACCGCTTGATGAGTGTGTGTTTGTGTTGGAAAAACTACGGCCCTGTTTGTATTGCTGCATGGGTCTTTGCTCTGCTGTAGCCGAGGGTCCCCATTGTTTCCCAAAAAGAAAATGAGGTGGAAAGAAACTCCAAGTGTGTCTCAGTGTAAACCTTGCTGGCGGACCTTTGTTGCATGACTTGCTGGGGGCCCCTTGGTTGGTTTCACCCATTTCTTTAACCTCTCTTAACCTCTCTCGGTCATCTGACAGAGGTCACTGACCAAGAGGATGGGATAGAGCGTCTGGATTCACACAAGTCAAAGCAAAGAAAAGAAAGGTTAAGTTCTTCAAGACCTACAGCTGTCTAGTAAATAACTAAAAAAACCTTCAGACATGGTTGTGCCAGCTTTGTCTGACACTGACCTGTTCTCTGTGCAGATTC